AAAAAAAAGTTGAAAGATTCATGTTTGTTATTTTTATTTATGTGTATATATGTGTGTCTATATAAGTGAATGCCACATGTGTTTAGATGCCTGTGAGGTCAGAAGAGGGTGTGAGGTGCCATGGAGCTGGTGTTCCAGGCAGTTGTGAGTGGCCTGACTGACATGTGTGCTGGGAACTGAACTTTCCTCCTCCAGTAGAGCAGCAAGTGTCTGAACAGCTGAGCCATCTCTCCAGTCTCCCCCTTGACTAATGCTAACCTTTTCATTTTAGTTATTGAATTTATTTTGTTTTGTTCATTTGTTTCTTTAGAGACAATTTTTTCTCTGTGTAACTCTGACTCTCCTGAAACCCACTCTGTAGACCAGGCTTGCCCCAACTCAGAGATCTGCCTGCCTCTACCTGCCTCTGCTTTCCAAATTCTAGGAGTAAAGGCGTGTGCCACACAAACAAATATTGGGTATTTGTTTTTATTTTTTATTTTTGGTTTTTTGAAACAGGATTTTTCATGTAACCCTGGCTGTACTAGGACTCACTCTATGGACCAGGTTGTCCTTGAAGTCACAGAGATCTTCCTGCCTCTGCCTCCTGAGTGCTGGGATTAAGGGCGTCACCACCACCTCTTGGTTACTTACTGAATTTTAAAAAATGAGATAAATATAGATTCACAGTGGCTTCCACAATAATATACATTCAGGGTCTAGACATTCATTTTGCTAATGAGAAAGTATAAATATACTATATTATTGTAATCTAGTTGTGGATGGACACTGTTGTCATCTAGATTGTATCAAATGGGCCCTTTCTTATGTCTGTGTAGTTTAGTACAGTTATTCACAGGTCTAGGTTTGTGTGGTGACAAGTACTGAGAATACAGACGACTCCTTAACCATGCAATTCCCTCTTGCTAGTCCATTAGCTACTTTGTTTGGCCTGTCTTCTTCTCTTCACCTTGTGTATCCATTTTCCTTCTCAATGGATTGTGGCATCAGTGTTAGGTCTGATGACTATTTACCTGATCTTTCTGTGTGGGTTTGCTTGAATACACATTATACACTTTTGAGATTTGTTCTTAAACCTATGGCTTTATTTATGTTAATTTTGTGTAAGGTATGATACTTAGTTCAATGTTCTCTCTCTTTTTTAAACCATCCCTATTCCACTGACCTATCTGGGGAAACATATTAGTTCTCTCTTTCTACCCTGTGGGTCCTGGGGATTGAACTCAGGTTGATGGGCTAGGCAGCAAGCACCTTTACCTGCTAGCTGTCTCTTTGGCCTTCATTCAGCCTTGGGTCATTTGGTGAAGTTGGCTGAAGGCCAAGTTTGCAGCTGCCCTTCATCAAGTGGAAGCCATTTCCATTTCTTCCTGTTGTGCTGAGCACTTTCACATAAGGGCATGTTGGGAGACTCCACAGCAGTATAAATTATACATATGGAAGGTAGAAGGAAGTTCCCACCAGGGAAATAGAATTATGTTTTCCCTTTTATCACTGCATAAAGAATGAAGGAAAATGGATTTCTACAGTAATATTCCTAAACAAGCAAACAGCTCCTGAACAAAACAAACTAGGACTAGAGAGATGGCTTGGTGTCTGAAAGTTCTGAAAGAGGATGGGTTGGTTACCTACATCCACATCCAGTGATTCACAACCACCTGTAACTCCTGCTTTAGGAGATCCAACTCTCTCCTTTGGCCTCTGAAAACACTGCACACATATGTGCATATATTCATACACATACATACATATATACATACAGTACTAAAACAAATCTTGTATAAAACTCTAATGCTCTAAGTGTCTCAGGGCTAGGGAGATGGCTCCGTGGGTAAAGGACCTGAGTTAGGATCCCCAGCATCCACCTAAAAGCTGGGCATAGCAGCATGCATGTGTTACTTCAGAGCTGTGTTTGGAACTATGTAGCTCCTAGGAGTTTATTGGCTAGCTTCTCTAGCCAAATCAGAGAATTCTAGATTCAGTGAGGGACCTGCCTTAAAAATGTAGTTATAGAAGAAGATGCCAGACCTCTGGTGTCCAAATGACCATGCATACCATCACTCTAGTCTACACACACACACACACACACACACACACACACACACACACACACACACACACACACACACCCCACAGCATCCCTTTTCACATTGCTTATGTTGTAAATACTGAGCTGGAGTACTTGTCTGATGCAAAGTTAGCTTTCTATATATCTCCAAGCCTTTTGCCATGTGCATAGCTCTGGAGAATCTGCTATATCGTTGCCCCATCTTCTTCCCACTCCCATAACTAATTTTCCAACCATAGACAGATTTATATTTAGAAGGATGTGAAATATAAAAATTTGAAAGTTCAACATGCCGCCC